TTTTAAAATTACAGTTGATCAACATAAATGACGATCATTTTATTTAAACCAATCAAAATGAACTTTACCTATGCTATATATATACATATATATATATATATATAGCGTAATATATAGGTATATATAGTATATAAATGTGTGAACGTGGTATTGTAAATCAAAGTTGCCAATTAATCGATCGAAATTTAAAGTGCTTTTTAGAAAATGTCGCCAAATCTATTTCTAATTTCTGTAGAATATTAGTTTTAACCAATTTATTGCAAACATACAAACTATAGCTTCTTTAAAATAAAATATTTTGCTTTTTCCGGTTCTTACGTGCATTTCGTGATGGGTGATCCCTTATTATGTTCGTTAAGTCAATGTATCATTGATGATATCAAATTTTCGGGTGAGCAAAATTACTACTTGCCAAAAAACAAAAAAAAAAAACCAACTATAAAACCGTTTTCTGAATCATATTGTCAATCTGTTCTAGACGGGACCTTCCAAAAAGATGTTCTAGGTGGTGGTGGCGTGTACGCGACATACGGTATACTTTTAAAGTTCGAACGTTAAATAATTCTATTACACCCATCTTACAAGTTAAAACTCTTTCGATAACAGGGATGAGGCTATGGTTTTCACATCAAGAATCCCAACGCATAGCATATTCTTTTCACAGTGGATACGATTTTCCCCTTAACATCCTTCAAAGTTTATTGGAGCTCAATATATCACTTACACAAATATGGCATTCAAATCTACCCTCTATCCGCGGGTTAAATACATTCAAAAGTGCGAACCAACGTGTATTCGCATATCAAACACCACCTATAGGAACAGTTCCAGCGGATCTACCAAGTTCTTATTTGAATGCCAAAATTTTCCACTTTATTTGTTCATCAATTTGGGCCTCACAGCATGTCGCAGATATTCTAAGATTACGTGACAAACGATTACCACCACCTATTTTTGTTTGGGAGCCTATACCTGAGAGTGCTTCAAAGGAAAATATTCAATCATGCATTGAAGCAATGAAAATGGTGGATGTTGTGTCACCGAATCACGAAGAAGCTGCAGCTTTACTTGGTTTAATCACTGAAGATGAAGAAGAAGACGAAAAATTTTTAGCAGAAGAAATGTTAATATACATGGCAGATAAACTTTTAAAATATCAGATTGGCCCACATGGAAATGGGTGTGTAGTTATTCGAGCATCTTACAAAGGTTGTTTGGTGGCGACAAAAGAAAGGAAGGAAATAATACCAGCATATTGGACAGCGTTAAAAGATGGGAATAGAAATCCACATGTTGTAGATGTAACTGGAGCTGGAAATGCATTTTGTGGTGGTTTTATGGTTGGTTTATTAAGGTCAAATTTTGATGTATTTGAAGCTGCACTTTATGGATCAGTAAGCGCGTCATTTACTGTGGAGCAACTTGGTACCCCCCGACTCGGATTTGATGAACGGGGTAACGAAATATGGAATTCAGGCGATAGTCCGTCGGTAAGATTGCAGAAACTGAGATTAAGAGTCAAGGAAAAACTCAAAGAGGTTTTAAAGGTGAAGCTAAAAGAAAGGATACACATGAAAAAAATGCAGATTAATGATCACAACGGAATCAATACTACTAGTAGTAACGTAAAAGATGGGGTGGACAATGGCGATGGTGGGAACAATAAAGACATAATGGACCGTGAAAGCGTCGGGGACAGCATGAGCCCAGCAGATTAAATTATTAATATATTGTTAATATTACACGATGTTTTGAATTGGTGCACCACATGAAAAGACAGGTTTCGGAGAGTATTTGGTGATTTTTGTTTTAATTTTTGGATCCACGTAGTTTTGCAACCTAACTGTATTTTGGTATCTTATTCAATCGAGCCAATCAAGATTTTCTCACCATTGAAGGTGATGTGAGGATGTATGAAATAATTTAACGTTTCTGTTCTTTAAAGCGTGATTAATATGTAGCACAATTATTGTCATTGGGTCCAAATATGAAATTATACATCAGTTCGAAATATCACCATTCGCGAATATCACGCCGTTTTTTTCCGCCTATTCAAGTCTCACCTGTCATAGTCAATACAATTTATGATTAGTAATGATCATAATAAATTTACCATTTATATTCATTATGAAAATGACAATCAGAAAATTAATTCGCTATTTCCTTTTTGATAAAAATAATTTTTTAACGATAAAAAATCGTCATCGATATTTTTGGCAGATCATTAAATAAATAAAAAAAAACAATTAATACAGTACATTGTTTATTTTTATGCAGTACGTGTACACCTGAATTTTACAATTTTACAAAATTATACATATGATCGATTAAATACAAATTGACTTTAAAAATTATATATATAAAGAACGGTGCAAACGAACGTACATATATTATATATATCTTACAAATATACATAACGAAACGCCACTATAACTACTCCTTGTGAATATTGTAAATAGAAAAAGGCGAAATCGTAAAATAATGATTTCAATTGTTGTAGATCAAGAGGTTTTAAAATGTGAATAAATCGAGAAAAAATAAATTCTTCTTTGATCGAATATGATAAATAATTAAATCTACTCGTGTATACTCCAATTGCCCAAGAAACGATAAATAAATATTTCAGAAATCTTGAACATTAACCCAAATGTTTGTTAAAAAAAAATAAAAAGAAAATCAAAATAGGTTATCCTCTCCTTATTCTAAAGGCACCTGATAACGCACCAACTAATCTCTTTCGTCCCTCCCCGCTTCCGTGCATTGTACCCGCTACCACGGCATCTACAACCACCCAAATAAATACTATTACTCCTAAAAAATATACAACTAACATAAAAAAGAAAGGTACAAAGTCGCCAAATACTTCTGAAACTTCTGCATTAGGTTGATTCATAGCACGACCAATTACATCTGACAAAACAAAAGCAAGTACAAATAAACAATAAAGGGTCATGATTATGCCTTCGCGAACCCTAGTGGTTCCAAATCGCCACCATTTAGCACCATAATTAACCTCATGAAACTTGGAGACATCTACACGTCTTGTTTCATCGAAAAATATTGAAAAAAGCATTAAAGGAGAATAATATATGACTGTGAATGACGTGTCAAATCCTTTCCTTCGAAGATCTAGATATGTCCAAATTGTTACAAGGACAATGTATAATATGAAGAATATAATAGGAAAAATAACCAATCCGATAAGGTTGGCCGCATAATTTTTTCCATCGCTGACATTAGTATCACTAGTTGTTGTATTTGTACTTTTTCCACCTAGCTTATAGCCCGCATAGACAATATTGAATATAGCTAATTGAGAGAACCAAGCCACACGTGCCATTATTTGTGAACGTGTTATTACTCGGCCAAATGGTGAAGGAAGGTACGCAAAATTTGTTGTAAATGAAAGACCGCTCGATCCACGATCAGTAACAAGTGTCAATGGTAGAAGATCCGATGATTCCCGATGATGATGATGATATGTACGTGAATCATCTCTCGAATGACGGCGTTCTTTTTCACTTATCTCTTTTTGTGTTCCACGCGCAGCACTATCGAAGGCTGTGTGAGGTTGCGTAACTACAAAAAAAAAGGATTGTTTTTTTTTGAATTTAGATAATAATATTCTTTGAGATAAAGACCTCTAATCTTAATCGTCATATATTACGGTTCTTATTTTTAAATTCTTATCATAACAATGGGAATTAAATAGAACACTTTACAAATCTTTCGATTATAAATAATCACCTTATCGGACATTTTGTTCGACTGAGATTTGTAATATATGTTCTAACAGTCTTGCGAAATATACGAAGTCTGACAATCTTAAAAATTGTAATTCCTAATTTCGTACACGCCAATCCGTTAATTAAATAAAAATATAATACAAACCTTGGGGCGATTGGGTTTGTTCCAAACTTGATCGATGCAATCTTCTCTCGGAACTTATTGGAACGCTTGTTAATGAAGAAGGCATTATACCTCGAGTATCTACCCTTCCTGGAATGTCTGGAACATCTGCTATACCCCGACTTTCGTATGCCGGAGTCGGACTCGCTGACATAGTTGGTAAAACTGGAGCTCCGGGAGACCGTGTTGATAATCCTGTAGGAATAACTTCCTCTTCTTCACTGGTGCTATCTTCCTCGAATAGATCGTCATCGTCCATGCTTGGCCTAGTTTGTATGGATTCCGCGACCATTGATACTTCTGAGGGCTGTCGTTCATGTTGAATTAGTGGAGCCGTATAAGAACGTTGCGGAGGTTGTACCGGTATTCTATGAGACAAAATAGATTGAGTAGATTGGGTAGGTTGAGAGGGTTGGATAGGCTGAGTAGGCGGCGTTTCAAGCACAGGTCCTACGGGAGGAACAATGCGTCCTGGGTCGTCAGAATCACTGTCGGAAGACGCGTCAAATTGATAAATTGGAACAGTATGAAAAGATTCGCCCGGTGGTTCGTCCGCAGGCTCCATGTTAACAATACCACAATTAGAAACAAATTTTCGGGCGGAGCCTAAACAACAAAATGATATATGCAAGAAATTTTGCAAAATATATCAAAATATGGCGGACTGAATAAGATGTTCTAAAGATCAAAAAAAGAAAAAAAACCATCACCATGAATTTTGAACCAGGTTACACGAGTTTGACAACCAGGGAAGGTCTCGCCACATGTTTATTTTGTACAATGAAGCCACCAACTAATATATGTATGATGTTTTAGAAAAATAACGGGTATGATATAACTTCTACTAAAACTTGCCTGGAAGTGAAATAAAATAGTTCAAAAAATCGAAAATTTAAAATATATCGATCGATCAAAAGTATTTTTGCGAGACACGAACAAAGCCTCCTCTCATTCTATAAGCCTTGTGACCAAAGCCAAGAACCGCGCCTGGTAGAGTCGTTATCTAATCGTCAATTCACGGGTCAAATGTAGTGTAAACGAGACGAAGCTTGAAAATTCTTGATTGATCAGAACCCTTTCAATCGTGGTAATTGATAGTGAATTTGGATTAAATTTTCAATGTCCAAATTACATGAACATTTCACGAATTATTCTTTAACAAATAAGTTACATATCTCTCGAATCAATATTATTTGTGGCTCAGCTTTTAAATATTGCAACCAAAAGCTTTTTGTTTTTGTTTTGGAAGTACTTGAAGCAATGCTGGTTGTTTATAATACCCAATTTTATATAAATTAAGTTTAATATTTAAATAAAAAAATTTTAACTTTCTATCGCTATGGAATTTTAATTAGTCAAAAATAACCAATTTAAGGTTTAATTTATTTATTTTTTTTTTGGTATTAAGGTGAAAAATTTAAGGTTTAATAAAATTGATTAAAAATATGGATTATTATTTTTTGTAAAGTTATTTAATAACTGCAATAATTTTTATTACAATTTAGGGCTTAGATGTAGTTTTAAAATAAAATAAAGTTTTTAAAGAATAATAGATTATATTAAAAGGTTTAAATTTTAGTTTATATAAGGTTTTTAAGAGTAGAAGACATATGGATTATTTTATATATATAGTGTTGTATAGTATATTAAAATTTTCATCTAAAATTAATATATATATTAATAAAACTTTTTTATTTTTTAATTAATCAATAAAAAAATTTTATATTATAAATAAAATTATTTATTTATTATAGTAAAATTTTAAACTATTATATTATTTTAAAAAAATATACTTATATATATAATAAAGTTTATTTAAGTAAGTTAAAATTTGGTTAGATAGTACAACAATAAAAAATTTGATTGGTTAATTTATATAAACCTATAAGTTAATTTTATTATATAATTTTATAGTTTAATCTTTAAAATTTATAACTTAATTTTTTTTTTTTTTTTTTTTAAATATTAACAGTGAGGTCATGCTAACTTAATTTCTTATAGTTGTGTAAATCTGTTAAAATTAAGAAATAAGAAATTTAGTCAACCTTCAAGTAACAGGTTCAAAGTTCAAATCTCAGTAATAATGAAAAATTTTATAATCTTTCTTATGTTATAGTTAACTGTTTCTTATAATTAGTGAGAATAAGGTACCTGTTACCTGTATTGCATCAGCATGCTTGGCTGGTCACATAGCATTTGTGTAACAGTTATATAATATTGTTCTTTGGAACAAGGTCTGTAGTTATATAAAGGAATACAAATCAGTATCAGATAGTGCAAACCTACAATAAGTCCTTATAGCCATGTAAATTATAAAAAGCCTACTTAGAAAACCTAAGTAGAGAGGTAATCTGAACTTACGATGATACTACTGTAAAGACTAAAATTATGAAATAGAGTTAGAACTTTAAAATCAGACAAATGGCTAGTTTTTGAAAAGTAACTGAATGAACCAATCAGACTATCAGAATTTCCAGATTTTAAAGAAAAAAATATATATTAGCAAATATATAAACCAGAAGTATATAGTTATGATCTACTTTTTTGAACTATCTAAAATAACAACTTGGTAGAACTTGAATTGAATATCAAAGTAGTAAAGATATATTGTAAAATCAGTATTAGGATTAAGATGAACTCTACAAGGCCATAGCAGTTTAATAATATGCTTTAACTGTCAGTATTGGTTTTGGCTATAGTGATACTAGGTCAGCTATAAGAATAAAATACAAAAGATTCTAAAAGGTTTAGTATAAGATCAAAGGTTTCAAAGAACTGCTTTAAAGACTTAGTAGACATAATATATTTTTACTAACATCAACCAGAATTATTAGTAGGCAAAGATAGGTAGGTGGATACAGAAACTAAAATGGTTAAATAGGAAATCTACAAACAAATTCCAGGTATGATAGTTAGTATAAAACCTTTAGATAAACTATTTAAATTAGACAATAACTAAAGTTATATAAGTGGTTAGTTGTACATACTTTTTATAATTGTCCCCTATGGTTGTAATGCAACTATTAGCCAAATATACTATCAATAAAATTCTGAGTTGCAAGTACTCACCTTAATATTTAAAAAAAATAAAAATAAAAAATTTATTTAAATAAATAAATAATATAAATCTTTAATAGTGTTACTATAAAAACTAGATTACTAGAAAAAAATACCAATATTAAAGCACTTAAATAGATAAAAATCTCTAAGTTAAGATATTGTTATAGAATAAATTATTATTATTTTATTATTATTAGTTATTATTATTTTATTATTATTATTATTTATATTAGTTATTTTATTATTGTATTATTATTATTACTAGTAATTGCTAGAACTTTTTAGTTAATTAGTAATTGCTTAGTTACTTAGTTATTTAGTTATCTAGTTGCTTAGCTACTTAGTCATTTAGTAATTAGTTATTTAGTAATCATTAGTTATTAGTTGCTAGAACCTTTCAGTCACTTAGTAATCACTTAGTTACTTAGTCACTTAGTTACTTAATACTTAGTTGTGTAATTACTTAATTGCTTAGTCACTTAGTCACTTAGCTGCTTAGTTCACAAATATATAAACCCTGCTAAATTTTCCAAGTGTGATTAAGCAACAGACATATCTCTTTTCTTTAATATTGTAAACATATCTTGAAATTCTTTAGAAACAGAAACCTAAAGATAGTCCTTTTTGTTACTATTTTAATAAACAGCTTTTAACTATAAACTATATTGATACTTTCCCTCTAGAGTAATTCTTATAGGCAAGGTTTATTACCTTTTAGTAAAATAAAGTAAACTTATTAGTATTGCATTATCTTTCTTGAACTGTCTCAGAGAAGAGTATAGTTTCTTGACAACATCTAACAAAAGCTATACTTTCTTCTTAGACACTGCATATATTTGTAAGAAATTCTCTGTATTATGTTATCATTATAATATAAAAATTAAAAAGACTTTTGCCTATCTTTTAAACTGTTTTCTAGGCAAATTTGCTTAGATTTTTAAATTAAATTTAGTATTTTTTAAATAACACAATAAATTATTAATAATATGGGATACAGTTTACTTATAAAATATTTTATTGAAAATATACTTTATAAACTTTATTAGAAAATTTTTTTAAAATTAATAAGAAACTTTTGAGCAATAAAAATTTAAAGATTTTATTTAAAAATTTTTATTATAAAAAATTTCTTTAAACTTTTCAAAATTTTATATGTTTCCAAAGCTAAAAAAAAAATTT